CGGATAACTATGATGTTTTGCAAAATGGTTGAAACACAATTTGATAAGAAGATTAAGCAATTCCGTTCAGACAATGCAGYTGAATACTTTGAAAGATCCCTGAACTCATTCATAGAAGATGAAGGCATGTTACATCAATCATCATGTGCTTACACCCCTCAGCAAAATGGGGTTGCTGAGCGCAAGAACAGGCACCTAATGGAGACAGCTCGAGCCCTACTTTTCCAGCACAATGTGCCCAAGCAATATTGGTCTCAAGCTGTACTCACTGCATCATACCTGATAAATCGGATGCCATCTAAGGTACTGGGTATGAAGACTCCTTTCTCTGTTTTGTGTCCCACTCTTCCAAAATTTCCTCTTCCCCCACGGGTTTTTGGCTGTACATGCTTCATACATGTAAAGGATCCAAAGAAAACCAAGCTGGATCCTAAGGCTACAAAGGGAATTTTTTTGGGGTACTCTCCTACACAAAAGGGGTATAAGTGTTATGATCCTGTCTCCCAGAAAAAGTATGTCACCAGAGATGTAGTCTTTTTTGAGTCTCAACCCTATTTCCAGTCTTCTCAGAATCCTCTTCAGGGGGAGACTAATGGGTTGGAAGAGGATTCTCATTCTCCCTTCTTTTTTGTTCCCCTTTCATCACCTTCCACTATTCCTAGTTGTAACATTCCAGGTCAACCTAGTGAGACTCCCATTGTGCCAGTTACTTCTCCAGATTCAGCTAATGCTTCTGAAGGTTCCAATAGGCAAGAGAAAGAGATACTTACATACAGTAGAAGGAAGAAGGGCCCTCAACCTCATGATTGCAACCAATTGGACTCAGATCAATCTGTCTCTGCAATCCAAGGTAATTCTGACTCACTCAACTCAGATTGGATCTTCCTATTGCTCTCCGTGAGCCTGTTCGTTCTTGTACCACTCGACATCCCATAGCTGATTATGTTTCTTACTCACATTTATCCCCTGCCTATCATTCCTTTGTGTCTGCTCTTTCCTCTGTATGTGTCCCAGGTATTCAGAGGCAGCATCTGATCCAAGGTGGAAAGAAGCCATGAATGARGAGATGAAAGCCCTAATGAAAGCAAGAACGTGGGAATTGGTGGACCTGCCAGAGGAGAAAGGCACTGTTGGGTGCAAGTGGGAATTGGTGGACCTCCCCGAACCCGCCCCGTTGCCATCCCTATTCATGAGCCCTATTGATGTCATATCATCACCAAATGACATCAATAGTCCATATGGTTAGTGATAGCTGAATTTGGTTTTGGTATGGTTCAATGCACCCTTCTTTTAGAATTTTGGTATGCAAAATGTAGGCATTTGAAGGTGTTTAGGTATTTTTTTGTATTTTTCATACTAAAATTATAGAAAAAATCGGGCATGGGTTCTCCTTGTTTAGTGATTACAGACATTCTAATCTTTGAGACCTATGCCATTTAGGTCAATTCTAATTTCTTTGAAGACGGGGAGTGGTCTCATGTTTTTCTAAGCCCTAGAAAATTTTTATGGGATTTTTTCTTCCCTTCTATTTTGTCGCCAGTTCTTGCTTTTGGCCCTACTTACTGCTAAACCGCAACTATACCCAATTGTTGGGGTTTGTTTTTCGTCTGATTGTTTTTGGGGTGCCCTAAGAAGTGGTAAGGAAGTATTCTTGGAGTAGGGTTACTAGGGTTTATCTTTCTTAGAAGTTGTGAACTATGAAGACTCCCAAAGATACTCAGATTACTTTTAATGTTCTTCCTAGAAATGGCCGTTGAAATACTTAGGTTTACCCCTAGGAGATAACCCTAGATCTTCTTGTTTTTGTTCTTTGGTGGTGGAAATAATCGAGAAATGCTTGGTGGGGCAGAAAAGGAACTATATTTCATTGGGGGTCGGGGTGGGATAATAACTCTAATCAAGTTTACCCTAGCAAATCTTCCAGTGTACTACATGTCAATGTTCAGGATGCCACAAGGGATAGGGAGAGGTGTTGAAAGCTAAACCCAAAGCTGCAACAAATTTGTGTCTCTTACATACTCTTGACTATATCCTTGGGCAACTAAACGAGCCTTGATTGGATCAACAGATCCATCAGATTTCAGCCTAATGTTGTAAACCCAATGGCTCCCAACAATGGAGGCATCTGGAGGAGCAGGCATAAGGTCCCAAGTGTCATTCTCATGTAAAGCATGAATCTCTGCATCCATGGCTTCCTTCCACTTATAGGAGCAATGGTGAGGATGATGATCTGAACCAAGAGGAAGGGGAGTTGCAGGCGTAGGGACTAGAGCACGTAACAACTTGTGAGAGAAGACAAGAAGGTCCTTCTCAATAGGAGGTGGAGCACAATATTTTAAAAGGCGTGGGAGGCGTACACCTGGAGGCGCACCTCTAGGTGAGGCTCCCCCAAAATGCCTTGACGCATATGCCAAAGGCATTGACACCTCTGAGGCATACGCCTCATATGATTTTTTCATGAGGCATGCTAGAGGCATACACCTCATGCGCCTCTTGCACACCCCATGTAAAAAGATAGAAAAAACAAAGAAAAAAGAAAGAAAGGGAAGGAAAGGAAAGAAAGGAAAGAAAGGGGAAGGGAAGGGAAAGAAAAAGAAATAAAATAAAAGGAAAAGGAAGGAAAGAAAAGATAAGGGGAAAGAAATTGGGCTGGGGACTAAGCCCCCGAACACCTTTGGCTGGGGGGCTTCGCCCCCCCCCCCCCCTTTACCTAGTGATATGCATCTTTATTCTTCTTAATATAAAAGATTTTTATTAAAAATAAAGAAAATTTTGATCCTTCATCCTCTTCTCCCTCCTCCTTCCTCCTCATCCCCCCCTTTCAACTAATGTTATGCATCTTTATTCTTCTTAATATAAAAGATTTTTATTAAAAATAAAGAAAAAATGAGATCCCTCCTTCCTCCCCCTAACCTCCCTCCTCTTAAGGAGGCTTACGCCTCCTTGTGTTCGGGTGGTTTACGCCTCTTGCGTTCTGAACTACGCCTCACACCTCTAGGTAGTGGAACGCCTCGTTTCACGCCTCCACATTTTAAAACATTGAGAAGAACTAGGGGCAAACCAAAAAGGACATGGTCAACACCATTTTCAAGGGAAAATTCTCCTCTCTTGAGTAACAATTATTTCAGTGGGCTACAGTCAAGCACCAGTATTCTAGATTCTTTATGGAAGACTGACTTTCTATCATTTTTTTTCTTTTTTTCTTTTTTGTCTTTTTGATTCATGTTGTACATGCTATAGTAATACACGTATAGTTTTTTGTAAATCCTTTTTCAAGAGTATCCCACCCTCACTATAGTAATAATATATTTTTGTCATTTATCAAAAAACGGACATGGACTGGAGTAGGGAGAAATAATTTAAGGGCCCAGGATCCAGGCTTGGTGCAGGTCAGTCTAGAACTAGGCCCAGGCTATGCCCCTTACAATAGGTACTAAGGCCAGCCGGTGGTCACCCCTAGTCTTAATAAGAAAAATATACTAAAACCAAAGACAGCCATAAATTTTTACAGTACTCACATGGGGGTGATAGTCAGATTTTCAGTCACCATTATGATAACAATCCACCAAAAAAAGGCCATTACCCAATGTTGGCCCCAGCTATCTAGAGTTTTGGGAGGGGTAGACTGGATACAGTCCTAAGCTTAGATTTTTTTTTTCATTTTTGTGCACAATGTGGCTCCTCTTAGATGATAACAATGAAGTACACAGAAATTTCAAGTACCTTCTCCAAAGAAGCATGGCAATCAACAGTCAAAGCATCTACTTGAACTGCTCCACAGTCCAACAAAACCTGTTATTCCATAATGGATTTATTACAGCAGACCAAAATCTAACCAGATAGAAGATACATCATAAACCATGCAATGCTATTTATATGGTGCAAAACTTGTCTTGTTTTCTATTTAATTATTTATTTAAGATAAACAGATGGTTACATTCTTACATCATTTTAATAAAATTCTAAATTATTCATCAAAAAACGATGTAAGAATGTAACCATATGTTTATCTTGAATATAGGAAGGATGACATTTTCTCCCTTTTATAGTATATGTTCTTCAGTTACTTTCAGCTGACCTTGCGAAAGAAAAGCCTCGGAGACTGTATCTCTGTAGTGAAAACAAATTGTGAAGCACCAGTAACTATGTGAACATCATGCCCATATAAAATGAGGTGTCGAACAACCTAGACAGTCACCAGGTAAAATAAAATGTCAGTTATTGCCTTCTCCTTCAACATTCAAAAATAGAGGGGGCCATGCAGCTGCATGCAACTCAAAATAATCAGATAGGAGGAGAGGGAGGGATAGTTTCAAAAACAGGGAAATCAAGAAAATGTGAAACACCTATGGGAATTCCAATGCAAGTTTTTAATCAGATTAAATATGTTTAGTGATCTAATTTCAGGGCAAAAGAAAGCACAATCATCATTTGTGTAAAGGTCAAAAGAACATTAAAGAAACAAAAAGTCATCACTGTTTTAACACCATAATCATCGGAGAAAAAATTTAATCATGTCATTGACGTAAAGCTACAATAGTTTAGACTTTCAAAGAAAAGGAAAAAAGACAAATTAATGATTCAAAAAAGAGAGAAAGATAATAGAAGTCAAATCTTCAACCTCAACAACACGAGTGGCATGCCCAAAACCATGACCACTGACGTAATATGCAAAGACGAGATGCTTTTTTGATGCAGAGATCTGATTACCATCATCAATTATCATTTTCTCTGATCAAAACAGACAAAAAAACCATAAAGAAGAAGACAACAAACAAGAAATCATATATGGAATTGAAACCCTAGTTCTTAATGAAATTCATGTCTACATACATCAAAATTAAGTGTGTGTGTGTGTGTATTGTTTTGGTGTAGTCAAATTAAAAAAAAAAAAAAGGCAGGGTTATCTACAATCAATCAGATCATCATCATCATCCAAGCCTTATCCAACTATATGGGGTTGGCTTGCATGAATCCTGTTTCGTCATTCCATTCTGTTTAATGCCATATCCATTGTTATCCACAACAAATCAGATGGTCTTAGAAAATGTGTCAAAGCCACCCTTATTTTTGCAAAGTACCCTATAGAGCCAAACTCTTAATACTTCATATCCTTCAAAATCTTCTATTAGCCTTTGTTGATCTAGAAACCCAAAAGGAACATGATGTTCAATCTGGATGCCAAGGACCTCACTGTAAAATATCATAGTCTCTACGGCTCCCTTGAACAACTCTATCCCTCATCTATCCTATCACCAATTGAGAATCATAAATTCCTAATTAATATTCATCCTTTAATAGCCCTCCTTTAAAAATAATATCAGTTTGGCTCTTGCTAAATTCCCTAAAGTGACTGATCTGGACTCAGGAGTGTGCTAGTTGGGTTGCAAATAAATGATGCTTGTGTCAATTCAAGGTGTTAATGTTATATCTTTAGCTAGGTTATGCACTTCTGTTTTCTTAGATTTGATCTTTAGTTAGTTACAACTGACAGATTACTGTATGTTCTATTTTTTGGCATAGTGAAATGGTGATGCTATCTGCATCAATGTACCCTTGTATTAATAATATTAAATCCATTCTCTTCTTTTTCTTGTGATCTGTAGTCTCTTCTTCTTCTTTACTTTTCTAGTTAGTGTATATCATTCTCTTCCTTGCAGGTTAATATGGTATCATATCAGTAAATAAGCAAGATTCAGATGCATTTTTTATTAGGTTCAGACATATTCAGACTATAACCAATAGAAAAAAAATAATGTTCTATAGAATTATTGTTAACAAAATTGTGTGAAGGAGTTCTTCAATTGGAAAGCTTTCTTGTGAACTATCTTCCATCGTTCATTGTTTTAAATTATGTCAACCAAGTACAGAGCGAGATTCTTTTTTGAGATTTCCTGGCTGTGTTTAGAGCTGTTTCAATTAGTTTCAAGTTTTTTCGTAATGTGAAATTTGAAGTCAAGATTCATGCAAAATATTGATTTTAACTAAAATATTTTAGATTCAGAAAAAGGGTCTAGATTATTACAATTTTCTGGGGGCTAAGAAGGAGCCATTTTCTGACCACAGTTTTGATTTAAGATGTCAAGCGCAGTTCTTGACTACTATGTCAGCACCATGTTGATAAATTGTAGGTTGAGCTTTACAAGTAATTGGACTACTTGACCACTTTTTCCACATGGTTTAGCAAAGGAAACTCAAATCTCACAGTTGAACTATGTCCAATATAGAAAGACTTGGAAAATAATTTGGAATTTATATCCTTGTGCTTGTGATCTTGTCCCCTAACCAATTGTGGGAAAATATAACTGTAGACTGTAGAGTGTAGATGCTGAAAGCTTTGAAAATCTGTGTCATATTAAAGGCAGATCTATACAGCACCCTTGATTTGAGGTTTGTATAAGGAGCCAAAAATAGAAGATACCATAATTTCCCACCTAAACCATAATTCACCTGTCGGAATATAAGAGGTCTGTCATTCTGCTGGATTTATGTGCATTTTCTTTAGGCTTTCGAGTGTTTAGATCTTCAAGGTATCATTCTAATTTAAAAGAAAAGGTGATTGTTTTACTAGCAGTAGCTACAACCCCAAAGCACAAAAGAATCTGTGCAACACCTAAAGGCCTCCACAATGAAGTAAAAAAACCGGTATTAAGCATTCTATTTAACTTAAGCATAAGCAGATCATACAAGATTTCTTGCAATCTTCCTGAAGTAACATATAAATATCCAATCTTCTCCCTTTCCATCACAAGAATTAGATCCACTCATTGTTCATTCAACAATGAACAATACATCAGAGAGAATGAACAATAAACCATTCTCAAATTAGATCAAACCATGGCCCATTCAACAAATGACAGCATTTTTAGTCAATGTTAAACCCAGCTTGATCATCTTCTAGTACCATGCAAAAATTTCCGAAAGACGGACTACTTGACCATCAAATTAGAAATTAGAGCATCTCAAATACCTTCCTACTACCATGTGAAAAACACAATGGCCACCTTCTTACAGAAATAAAAATAAAAATTGAAAGCGTTTAATGTCAACTGAAAAGAAATAACAAAGTTCTTATTAATCAAAATCAAAGAGAAAAAAAAAAGGAAAAGAAACTTTTTACTTTTTCTTGAGGTGGGGGTGGGGGTAACTCACCTTACTGGTTGGGATCAGCACACGAATTGGGTTTGGATGGTTCTTACCAGTCTTCTTCAGTATGGGGAAAATGAGTCAGAGTTGGAACTTGGAACAGTGTCAAACTAGAGCCTAGAAATCAGCAAAACACGTAAGAGTTGCAAACTTCAGGGAGAAAACAAGAAGTTGGGTTGAAACCGCTACTTCAAGAATTCCAAAATGACATGGGACTGGGACAGGCCTCGTTTTAGAATCGCCAGCAGCTTTAGAACTATAAATAACTGATTTCTTTCTCGTTTTAACTAGTTGATCAGATCTCAGCCATTATACGAAGTTCGATGATGACCAAAACTTAAAAAACAAACCCTTGTCTCATTATTAGAGATCGACGATGAAGAGGCAGTTAATGTGATCTCTACGTATCAGAGTTTCAGGAGATTACATTAACTCAATATACGTTTTTACTTTTTATCGTTACAGGTGATAAATTTTAGAATTATTATATTTAAAGATAAAATTTGAAAATTAATAAAAGCAATAATATGACTAAAAATAAATTTAAGGGAGAATGACGGTTCAGCCGAATTTTTAGGCCCAAAGTACATTGGGGTAGGTGTCAGGAGACCGATTATCATTGGGAGATATTCCCAATGCACGGCGGAGATGTGTTGTGGGACATTGTGGGGGGGCTGATTTGAACTCAGTTGGCGGTTATGCCAATAGAGTGGGGGTATTTGACATTTTGAATATTTATAGTTCTGTAGTGGGATTCAAAAATCTGCAATGGGCCTGTTCATACTTCTCCATAAATTTAAATGCTTGTAATAAAATTTCACATGCATTGTACGTGAAAATTTTAAATTACAATTACTATTATTAATTGACTATAACATCATTTCATTTATTGGTAAATTTTAAATTTGACATTTTATTTATTGGTAAATTTTAAATACTGTTCAGTAATTATAACTAAATAATGTATTTAATATTAATTAATAAATACTATTAATTAACTAAGTTCTGTATTTATTGAAAATGCTATTGATTAATAAATACTGTAATTTTTAATAAGTACTGTTAATTGTAAAATTACCGTATGTTGATTTTTGTTAATTATATAAATTATTACTGTTAATTATACAAAATAATTACTATTAATTTTCTGATAATTATCTATAATTATAATTAAATACTGTTAATTATTAAAAATACTGTAATTATTTAATTGTAATTTGAAAATAATTACTGTTAACTACAGACCTACCGTTGACTTTTGTACTTTTCTGATAATAACTTTTATTAATGACTGTTAATTATATTATTTTTTATTAATTGATTACTGTTACTGATTTTATATAACGTATGATTCACTGTTGGTGCGAACCGTCCGAAACACAGTTCAGGTTCGGATAAACTCAATATATACTATCGAAAACGGGTTGCGCAAAACCCGTTTTCGTCGTCTTCTTTGCCCGATCGTTAAAACGGGTTGTACGAGGATTCGATTATTTAGTTTCATTTTTTATTACCGAAAGGCATGCTTCCCTTTCAGTAAACCTTGTTTTAGCTCATCCTCTAATCTATAAAGGGTCGAGTATGAAAGATAAGATATAGACGTGAGAACGAATCTGAATCTTAGCATCCAAATTCATATGGAAACAGACTCATTAGGAATGTTTTTTAATATATATATATATATATATATATATATATATATATAGATCGATAGATAGATAGATGATATTAGATATGTATCCAATTTTTTCTCTATTTATTTTCTTTTGTGATTTTTTATATTTTTTATTTTTAAAAATTTTATTATTTGACAATGACATCATTTCATTTCTAGGTAGATTTTAAATTTGGCATTCCACTTTCATCATTAATAAAAATACTTCTTACATTTTATAATTATATATTCTTAGTATAATGAATATAAAAATATTAGAGATATGCCTAATTATATTATATATTTTATTAAATTTAATTTTTTATTATTTAATTATGTCATTATTTGTTAACCAATTTAACCCTAAATGATTGAATTATTTACTTGTCACTGGGAAGGAGAAAATGGTTTTGTTTTCAAATAACTTTTCAAAATATTTATTTTTATACTATTAAAATTAATGTTGTGGATTTAATTAATAAACTTTGATGATAAAAAATATATCTTAAATATACAATTTAAATTTTACATTCATTTTCCATAAAATAATGTTCTCAAGGTACTACATCTTATGGGATCCTCAAACCAATGAGAAAAATGAGACAATGAATGGGCACTAGTTAAAATTGTACAATGTACGATAATGATCTTCATATTTTTTTAGTTTACTATGCAAATTGTATGAATTTATATGATTATTAAAAAAATTCTTCCTTCAAATTTTGTCTCTTATAGTCACACATATATGAATTTATATGATGGATACAAAAATTCTTTCTTCAAATTCTAACTCCTAAAATCGCACTTAAATGAATTTATATGATAAATAAAAATTTCTTTCTTCAAATTTTGTCTCTTATAGATCACACTTGTATGAATTTATATGATGAATAACACCTTCTTATCTTATCTCTCGCAATTTCTTATTCCAACTAATTAATCACACGTTGTATGCATTTATTACTTCATATTTTGTCCCTTAGCATGATGAATCGCACTTGTTTCTTTCCCATTCTCGCATCTATGCAAATCCAGGGTGCATCGCACCAGTTGCGCTAACATCACAGCAACATATAATATTAACCAACTTCAAACAACACCGTAAGAAGTCTCCACTATGAAAACATTTTAGCACTATGCCAAGTTCTCCATTTCTGAACAAGGCACGAAATTTCACCTACAAGTCAGAATCATGACATGTACAACTATGAATGATGGTATTCTACACATAAACTTACTAACTATATCGCTTATAACTTCCACCGGATGGTGCATGCACCGTTGCACACAAAGGCCACCAGGGACCATGATGCATGCCTTCATGGCTTTAACAATTAAGTAAAACTTGTTGTACACCTCGCATGTCTTTAGCCATTGCACAAACACTATCCGTGAGAATTCTTCTATGGGATTAGAATCCAAGGTTATCCATCAGGCCAGCTAGGGAATTCAGTGTCACGCTCATCATATCAGCTGGCAACTTGATTCAACGAAGGTAGTTGTACTCAATCAATTTAGACACATATAGCCAGATAGAGGCATGGACACCTCATAATGCTCACACCTCCTCACTCCTTGTATCTGCACGGGATCCTCAATTTTGTCCTTGCTTGACATCTAGCAAGGACACTTCATCCATGTCGCCACCATTATCTACAATGCCCGAGGACACCACCATGACCAGCCTCACAATAACCTTACAAATCCCTTCCACAACATTCAAGGCAACTTCCTCTGTGACTGAGTCAGCCCCTTCTTCAACTGGGATGGCATCCGCAACCACCACTTACGTTAGCAAGGACCGTGTCGGACCCCATGAACTTGTTCCCCCACAACCTCTACTATTAGGAATGACAACGGGGCAGGTTTGGGGATGGGGAATTCCTGAATTTTTCCCACTTCAAGGCAATTACTTAAAAATTATCAATTTTATGAATAATTTATACATAGGATATATGAATTTATGGGTATTTAAGGAATTGAATTATAATACTATAGGGGTAATTCAAAAATAAAACTATGGGATCTTAGAAATTTTAGAATTTAAGAAAAATTTAGATATATTTTAAATATCAATATTAAACCTAAAAATATTTTATTAATTTACCTTCGGATTCGGGGAATTATATACAAAACCCATCTTTACCCCGTCCCTAATTCAGAGAAAAAATATTTTCCCTGTCTACGCCTCATCCCTATTTAGGATTGGAGAAAACCCGCCCCGTTCGTGGCGGGGCGGGGCAGGGCCCCAATTTTAAAGGGAAATTGCCATCCCTATCTACTACTTTCCGCGCTTCTTTTTCCCCATCGTAGCATTCTACTGTTGAAGTCGTGGCTGGATTGAGCCCTTAGCACTGGTGACGCCTCAGAAATTGCTTCATTCACGATAGATTGAAAATTTTGGAGCTCTACCCTCTTAGTTTTGCACACCTTTCATAGGTCTGCCACTAGATAGGACATAATGGCAGGTGCACCATATATTATGTGTAATGACGTGGCACAACCTGTAAAATGACAAGGTTTAACCACTACAAATTAGAAATACACAATCAGATGATAAACCATATTCACATACCTCTTCGAGACCAATCTATCCATCGAGCAAATGAGGGCCCACAAAATAACCCTGAACTTGCATAGACTCCCTGATTAGGGCTACTGCTACATTTTCACCACCACCATCCATTACATGCTCCAAGACTATTTCCTGCACATACATACAAGATTGAAGTAACAGTGATCAATATCACGTTCAAAAAGGCATTAGATATTGTCCTTAGCACGCCTCTCGTGTGGCGGGCCAGTGATATTGACTCTCCCCATACCTTATTGCCACATTAATATTGTCCTTAAGGTCAAACCAGTGTTAGATATACCCATCCATTAGCAACTTGTCGTTCACTTCATCAAACGCCTCCCAGAGTTCTACAGGAATGCATTCATTGTGTTGCAGGGCGAAAGGTGAGATAGCCCCTTTGATTGGAAGAAACAACAATGTGGCTACATCCTCCACAGAAATATGAAACTCCCCAAAAGCCCCAATAAATGAATGGGTGTGAAGGCATGAAACAATCGATAAGTTGTAGTAACCCTACCAAATGTAGGAGACAACAATACATTGGATTCTCTAATACTGAACCATAGGGTTTTTCTTGAAATTGAACTGATACTAGTGGTTGATCAGTTTCAGTTTTTGATCGGTTCGTATTTTCGAATTTTCAGTTTTTTTATATTTATAACATATATGATAAATAAATATATATAATATTATATTATAAATAATAAAGGACATATAATGTATTATAAATATGTATATTATATTATAAATGCTATAAATATAAATATATATATATATGTAATATATTTATATATAATATATAGATAATATGTGAGATATATTAAAAAGATAGAAAATATACATATAAATACATATATCGGTCAGTTTGATTGATTGCATTTTTTTGGTTTGGATCAATTTTTCTGTTTTTTGGTTTTTTCAGTTTTTTAGTTTTTTATGAGCACCCCAAGTACATATGCAGTCCAGTCTCTATATCTGTCGATATTAGACTCGTGACACTAGAAAGTCATCAAGGTCTTTTTTGGGAGACCATAAAAATAGAGTAACTCTTGAGCTTTAATCAAATCGAAGTATTTGCTTCCCCCATTATCACCGGAACCAAAGGCCAAAAACCCTCTCCCCCATCCTCTCCATTCGCCTCCTTGACTTGTGCCTAGTGATTCTCATTGGAAATGTGGTGAA